AATCCTTCACTTTCTCTCTCTAAAACTACTCCTAATCTAGCCTAATCTAGAGAGAGAAGCTCTCAACCTAAGAGAGAGAACTATTCTAAGACTAAGAATTATGTGAATGAATGATAATAAAAACCCCCAAAAACAATATTATAAACAATAAGGAGAAATGAAACTTAAAATCGTAAAAGACCCAGAAGTCCGCGCCCTCGGAGAAATCGGCCGCGCCCGCGGACACCCTGAAAGCCGCGCCCGCGGCTAATCCCCTGCTCCCAAAGCTCAATCAGGGGGTCGCGGTCTCTCTGAGATGGAGCGCCCTCTCCAAGTTTCCCACGCCCGCGAGGCAACCGCGGGAAGTTCCTGCCAAAATCTGGCCATTTGTGCTTCTTGAGCCCGCGCCCGCGGCCTGTTGGCAATACCTTGGAGACCTCTCCGAGGCCTCTCCAAGGCCTCTATAAGCCCTCTCTAGCCAAATGCTTCTTCCTTACTTGGTCATTAAAGTCCCAACTTGATTCCTTTGCAAAGGTGATTCTCCAAGTACCTACACAAGCAAACAAAGAAAGGAAATAAAAGGGAAAAAGAGCCAAATAAAAGGAAAACACGAGAAAAACACGAGAACCATAAAGAAAAGAGGAGAAAGTGAAACTAAAGGAAAAAGGACCAAAAATAAGAAAAGAAAGCATGAAAAAGGGAAAGAAATAACCCTAAAAGACTACCCTATGAGTGCCATAAATGACACTCAACAAGCAGCAGCCTGCACACATGGTGTAGGGCCTGCTAGATGAACACCCTAGAAATTCCTTTCCTTTAAAATACATGTTTTTCCCTGTTTAAAACTTTAAATAGGAATATCTAAGACATTACCGCCACCGTGAAAATGGTAAGGCAAATATCAAAGACACACATCAGAAGACTAATTTCAAAACCATTCAAAATAAGTCAACTTGAATAGCCGATCAACGAATCAATGGTTTAAACCATTATACATCATAATCCTTCAATAATTCATAATTCAAGAGCCTAGGGTTTTCAAAAATTGGGGCTTTTCAATTAAAAATAAAATTTAAAAATTAATTAACATAATACTCATAATCAAACATCAAAAATCAAATCACAAATATCATAATTAATATGAAGGGATAATTTGTTATTATTGATTATTGGTATTGCATGATAATTTCTTATTGAATTATTTTAATTCTTTGCAATTAGATTATGAATCAAGCAGATGTAATTTGATTATGAATGTTTAGCAATATTGAATTGATGAATCGAGCAGATGTTAATTTAATATTAAAGGCTATTTTTAATAGGAACTTAGATCTAGTAAATTGCGAGAGCCTGTTAGATCTATGTTGATTAATAAATTGCGAGAGCCTGTTAATCATGTTATTTGTGCAATATTAATTATTAATTATTATGTTTTATCCTGGAATATTAATTATTGGTGAACCTGTGACCCTATGCTTCCTTATTATTGTTTCTTTTCTCCCTAAACTTATTCTTCGTAGTATAGATTTTATTCCCAAAAATATTGGTTACTTAAATAATTTAGATTATAATAATTAATTAGGAGTAAAAAGACTTGTTTCCCTGTGGAGTTCGACCCTACTTCCCTATCTACTTTAGTTAGAGGACTTAGGTATTTATTTTTTATTAGGGGATACGACTTTACCCTGTCACATAGACGTCCTCACAAAATCTGGGAGAACGCAACCTCCTGTCTCTACATTGTCAAGCAATTCAAAAAGACCAAGGTCGAGATGAATGTATGGAAACTTCTAGCTACGTCTCGAGAACATAGGTTGGAAGTAATGAATGCCTTGGATAAGATAGGGTAAGATTCCGACACCACTCTTGAGGGGTTGGCTAACTTCCTTACGAGTGATCTCCCTAGTCCTATCAACTTGATAACTTTTTTTGATAAAGATTATCTCCAGAAGGTGACAAGCATTATAAGGCATTAAACCTCACAGTAGTCTGCAAGAGAATGAACGTCCTAATGACTCTTGTAGACAATGAATCGGCAATTAATGTCTGTGCACTATGAACTGCGAGGATGTTAGGCATAAAGGATGAAGACTTAACTCCGTCAACACAAATAATAAGAACTTATGATAATACTCGTCCCAATTACAATGAATGTAACGGCGGGAGTAATAGAATATGCCACCACCTTCCAAGTGGTAGACATTATAGCTTCATTCAACTTATTGTTGGGACGCCCTTGGCTTCATGACCTCAAGGTTGTCCCTTCATCTCTTCACCAACAGGTAAAAGCCATAGTTGGAGGAATCCCCATAACAATTGATGCTTCACCCATGAGGATTAAAGCTGTGGAAAATCCGATCATTAATGTGGAGCACGATGAAGATGATGAAGACTTATGGGGCTTTAATGAAGAGGTCTTCTTAATCGAGGAGGACGAAAGGACCCTTCTCTATCACGACCCCCACTCCAATATGATAGTAAATGCTATTATCAATAGACAAGGGCACTTTCCTGGAATGACTCTAGGAAAGAAGAAGGAGATAGCAAAACAGTTGGAATTACCTAGCCTCCCTAAATTAGACACTTTCGGACTTGGTTTTGAACCGACTCGGGAAGATCTTAAGCGAGCCAAGGAAAGGTCTCAGGCGCGTAGGAACGCTCGCACCCAAAATAAAGTAATCCCAATGGATCAGTATCCTCTTACTCTCAATGGACAGTTCGTAAGAGAAGGAGAAGACTATCCATGCTACGAATTTCCCGAACCCTTTGTTGTAAATGGCATAAGGCAACTAGGGTTCGAAATCTTTTTGGATTGCTACTTTTAAGATGAGATCCCAACTTCTATTCACAAGGAGAAAGCACCCCCATTTTTTGACATTAATGTCATGGGATTACTATTTGGGCGAGATTAAGATGAGCCAAAATACATAGAGGATAACTCCTCGCTCATCCAAACGGTCCTACAAAGCGAGAACTTTGACCCTTCAAAGCTCATCACTCCAGCAAAAGGATTAGTACAAGGATGGCGCAAGACAGTCAAGGTGACTACTCCAAGTGGAAGGAAAATCTCCATAACAACAGGGCAAGGACCGATGTTTGAAGAGTCGTTAGAGTCAGAGTTAGAGTCAGAGTCTTTTCCTGTAGGGTCTCCTAAGTCTTTAGCTATAGCACCCCCTCCTTCTTTTATTTCTACTCCTAGAATAGTTAGTATTCAAGTCCTTGAGGACATCTCCCTTTTTGATGTAATGATTTCATAATTCAATAATATGTCTTCTTCTGCTTACTCCTTATGTTGTTCATTAACCCAAGATGACGAGCATAGCTTAACTAACAATGAAAATTACAAAGACATTATTAAAGCAATGGAAACACTTGAAAAGAAAACACCAATAATTGAGGAAACTGAGACGGTTGATATCTCAAATGATTCAACCATTAAAAGAGAAGTTAAAATCGGATTAACACTTAATGAACAAGAAAGAACCAATTTAATTAATCGACTTAAAAAATTTATCGATGTATTTTCTTGGTCATATGAAGATATGCTAGGCATTAATAGAGAAATAGCTCAACACACTATACCACTAATTCCAGGAATGAAACTTGTAAAACAAAAGTTGCGTCGAATGAAACCCGAGGTAGCTCTTAAAATAAAAGAAGAAGTTCAAAAACAAATAACTGGAGGTTTTATCATGGTATCCAAATACCCCGAATGGGTAGCCAACGTCGTCTTAGTTCCAAAGAAGGATGGAAGGGTAAGAATGTGTGTCGACTATGGAGATTTAAATAAGGCAAGTCCAAAGGATGACTTCCCTTTACCACACATCGATATTTTGGTAGATAATACAGAAAATCATGCACTTCTCTCATTTATGGATGGGTACGTGGGATACAATCAAATTCTCATGGAAGAAGAAGACATGGAGGAAACAACATTCATAACACCATGGGGTACTTACTGTTACACGGTAATGCCATTCGGGTTGAAAAACGCGGGTGCTATATACCAACGAGTAGCGAATGCCTTACTCCATGACATGATGCACAAAGAGGTCGAAGTATATGTGGACGACATGATTGTGAAGTCAGAAGATCTCCAAGGACATCAAGTAGCCTTGAGAAAATTTCGAAAGGCTTAGAAAATACAACATGAGGTTGAGTCCATCCAAGTGTGCTTTTAGAGTCACCTCAGGCAAGCTCCTGTGATATGTCATAAGCTCTAGAGAAATAGTGATAGACCCAACCAAAATCAAGGCAATCATGTCAATTCCACCGCCCAAAATCGAGAAACAAATTCGAGGATTTATTGGCATGTTGCAATATATAAGTAGGTTCATATCGAAATTAACAATGATATGTGAACCAATATTTAAGAAGATCAAAAAGAATGTACTAGTAATATGGGACGATGAGTGTCAAAATGCCTTTGAAAAGATCAAATCCTATCTCACAAATCCTCCCATATTAGCACCAACACTTCCAGGGATACCTCTTAGGTTGTACTTAACAGTCACCAAGGAGACAATGGGAGCCATGCTTGCACAAGAAGTAGAAGGTAAAGAAAATGCAATCTACTATCTAAGCAAAAATATGCTCGAATATGAAGTACGCTACACACCGCTTGAGAAATTGTGCCTCGCATTGGTGTGGGCCACAACCAACCTAAGACATAACATGCTCGTGCATACAGTCTTTGTAGTTTACCGAATGGATCCACTTAAGTATCTATTTGAGAAGTCTACACTCAATAGGCGCATATCAAGGTGGATTGTCTATTTAGCCTTGTTCGATGTTAGATTCATGCCTCAAAACAGTACAAGAAAATAGGGTACATTTTGACGCTTTAGCCTTGACGCTTTTATAATGGGTCATAATTTTCCTCCATTCACGAATACATAATTTATATATTTTGACGTTTTTAAGAGCCAAAATACATTGTGACCCTCAAAAGCGTCATTATAGTGAATAGAGTGAAATGTCACCCAACTATCAATTACATAACCCGCTAAATTAAAATTTCAACCAAAACTAAAATTCTAATATCCCGGGATAGTGAGATACTGTACCCACGTCGTCCTCACTATCAGCTCCAACATAACCTTCGACCTTACTCGCTGCTCTGAATTTTGCCTAAAAACTTTGAATCTTCACAAAAAAAGTCCCTAATTCCTTGATTTCGGTTAGCATATAATCATCTCAACCCATTTCTTACTTATCTCTTTAATTTTTTTTTTCTGTATATTTGAAGCGTATGATGTGAATTTCAGATTGAATTAATACTCTTCATAATTTGCCAAAAACGTTATCTTAATTGAGTTTTAGGGTTAATTTGTATTGTGACTTTGGATTCATCGTTGCTATTGTTTGTTGGAGAAAAATTATCAAGATTCAACCCAAAGATCTAGTATGTTTTTTTTTTTTCCTCAATTTTTTTCTTTAATTATTATGTATGTTGATAGTTGCATGCATGATAGTTATAATCTCCAATTATAGTTGAACAATTGGTTGAATTATCAAATAAATTGAGTGATTGAATTGGTTTATTATATTCTAACTTTTTTTATTGGTAAAGAAATTCACACATACAGGCTACAACCTTTTATTTCTATACTAATAGCTGATATTGTGTTTAAAGTCGATATAGAAAACTTCGCTCTGTTCTTGTTCTGAATACTGTTTGCCACAATTCTCATTGTTTTGTTTGATTGGAAATGACCAAGTATTATTATTTCTTACTTATCCAAGGATCAGAACAAGGTTGTTTTTTTTAAAAGATTATCGCTCTATTTCCCCCCTTTTCTTAGCATTTTTCCTCTCTTGACTGAAATTTATTCTGTTTTGAAAATTAGAGTAAGGACTTTTCTAGCTGTTGATATAGAAGTGTAAATACTGAAGCTTTGATATTCAACTTGGTGGAATAATTACATGCCTAAATATTTTGTTGGCCTTGGAAGCTTTAAAGCTTAAGGGCCTTTTAACAAATAAACAAATTACCGAACTATGCTTATTCTATGGAAGCTAAGACTTATATAGTCTGAAAGGCTTGTATACATTTTATACAACAAAGAAATACATGATTCTAAACCTAATTGTTAAACCCTATAATTGTTACTCGAATTATATTCTAACTTTTTTATTGGTAAAGATTTGGAAGTTCTATCCTATGTTATGGTATGTGTTTGTCTTGATTGGTAGTGTCATAGTATTCTGTTGACTGCCAATTGCAATTTAGCTTTGTGACTGTAATGCTGTTTGAACCTGTGGACTGTTTGAGAATTTATATAGTGTTAGTGTGAACTCTCTGTCTAGTTTTCTCGTGATCCGTTTGATAGGCCGTATTGAGAATGAATTTTTATGTATTTTTGTAAGGAAAGGCTCATATAAATGTCCATGGTAATGCTTGTCCATCCCTCAAGACCCCATGTATATAATCGTCATCATAAATTTGTGTCATCATTCATGACCAATTTAGAAGTGGTGTTGGGTGGTTACGGAAACTTATGTAGAAAAACACATTGCCTCAAGTTATTACTAACAAAATATTTCATTAGTGCTTCTTAAGGTGGTTTGAGTTTCATGGTAAGATAATTTTTGTCCTCAGTTTTAATGGTGTTTAAGTTTGGATACTTGAGGTACTGAAAATCACTAGGCTTTTCATATTTTGCTTTGCTCCTTTTTTTGGTTTTGATGATTCTTAACTGTTTGCATAAGGTGTTAGTGTATTCTTAAGGCCTGACCTTGTAGGCTTGTACTCACTTGAGTTATTGAATCTTTTACTAAGAGCATTATGCCTAAGTTTTGGTAGGAAGGAGTGTCGTAGTAAAATCTAATGTAAGACGGAGAAAGGACTTTATGTGGGGAAATGTTGTTTTGTTGCATTCCCTATGTTATGATTGTGTTCAATCAGTCGTTTAATTAAATGTTTACATATACATTGCATTCAAACTTGAGATTCTTTTTTAAATTGAAACAAATGCACAACTACAATTAACCAACAGATTTGTTGACCTCATTAACGCACAAGTCATCAGAGGAGAAGCTGTGGTATTTGAAGTGCAAAGAAGTGGAAAATCAAAAGCTAAAAAGCAGGAGAAACGGCTGCAAGAATTGGAGGTAATATACAGAAGCATTGCCTAACTATAATATCGTTCTGGATGAAAATTTCGGTTTTGTAACTCTAAATGTCTATAGTTGGCTGTGAGTTTTGAGCTTAAGCTATTTCTAGATCCATAGTTAATGAATATTAATTTGATGATTCATAATAGGTGATGGTATATTACCTTCTTCAGCTAAATGGGATAATAATAAAAATAGAGAGGGGGGATAAGCTACTTGAGCAAGATGTAGTTGAGGATGGACCTTGTGATGCCTTCTATCTCTTTGTTTTATTAAAATTTCTGGCATGATAAGTATTTATTTTCCCTACAACTTCTTTTTTAAGACGGGAAAGGGAGCATAATATATATTAACCACAAATTAGATTACACCAAGCTCTGCCAAGGACAGGACCTCTTGCGGAAAGGAATTTACAAACAATTGCTCCAACCCATTTGAAGGAGTAAGTCTATCAGATAAGTGTGCTACTGTATTACCCTTCCTTTTCACACGATGACAAGAAAAACTATCAAGATTGAATTGAAGTGTATTAACCACAAACTGTATTGCTCCAACCCATTTGTTTTTGTTATCACTGTTTTGAATTGAAGTGTCTTTTGAGTATTCTTTTCTCTATTTTGTTTTGGTTTAAATTTTTTTTTTTTTTTTTTTTTTTTTTTTGTCATTCTAACATAATTCGTTATATTATGTAATATATCATCTAACGTATGTATGTCGCCTGTATTTTTTTTTTTCCAGCATTCATCCTTTTGGTCACTAATTGCTTAGTTTAGCCGACTCTTGAAGACAGCTATACCAAGGTATTACTCACATCTTATATGCTACTAGTTCAAGTTATGACAGTTTAGTTTAAGATCAAGCTTTAAGATTGTAATTATTTAGTAAGCATGTTGTAATTTTGTTTGTATGGTTTGTAATGACTTTGACAAAGCAACTTAGTGATTTATAATTATTTGGTATCTCCAATAGTTCATCATCCTTGCTTTTGTTGGTTTAATTGTATATTTGTGGGTGATTTTTTTATTATTATTATTATATAGTGAGGTTTAAATAGTTTTCAATGAAAATTGCATCGATAGGTTATATTTCATATAGTAAATCCTATACCTATAACTTTTATTCCCGTTACATGGCTATAGTGATTGACCTTTCCTCAGTTTTATGATCAGAATATATGAACTAAAAGTATGCTACCACAATCTGCTTTGTTGTGTATTTTAGTTTGTGAAAAAATTGATATTTATTCTGATAAGTATGTTTTAAAATTTTCTATTTTTTTGGTCAAAATTATAGTTCCCTTATTAAAGTATTAATTATGTATAGATATGGATACAAGTTGGATAGAACTTCCGTGATGCCACACTCAATATGACAAAGGTTGTATGCAATTCATTAACTTTGCTAAGGTAGCTCGGGTAGAAGGAAAGATTCGGTGTCCATGTAAGACATGTAAAGTGGATAAATGGCTTTGTGTAAATGATGTAGAAAGACATATCTTGTTTAATGGGTTTTATAAATCATACAAGAAATGGATTTTTCATGGTCAAGGGGGTTTACTTCAGCGCATGATTGGGTGTGATGAAGGGATTACTAGCCAAGGATCCCCTCTAGATCAAACAAGGTTTGAAGGTCGAGATGATATGGGAGGCCTATTGAGATCTGCTTTTAGTTTTGAAAAACCCTTAAATGACCAAACCTTTGAACCACATGAAAATAATGAAAATGACAAGTATCTTGAAGAACCTGTCTTCTATGAAGAGGAGATTGATTTAGAATTTTCAACAACGGAAGATGAAGCTAAGTATAAGAAATTAATTGATGTTTCTGATGAGAAATTGTATGTCGGGTGTATTAAATTTTCCAAACTGTCTTTTCTTTTACACCTTTTTCACATATAATGTATGAGCCATTGGTCTGCTGAATCCTTTAATATGCTACTCAAGCTTCTCATAGACGCATTACCCAAATTTTGGAGTTCTCCTCGTCTTATTATCAAAGTAAGAGAATAATAAAAGACCTTGGCCTTGGGTATGAGAAGATTGATGCTTGTCCAAATAATTGTATGTTGTATTGGGGTGATTTTTCAAAGGAAGACAAGTGTCATGTTTGTGGTACATCAAGATGGAAGAAAAATAAGGGTACAAATGATAATGTCAGAGATCAAGATAAGACTATTTCTAGGAGTGGTGAGCCAGCTAAGGTAATGCGTTACTGTCCTCTTTTCCCTAGACTGAAGAGAATTTACATGTCCTCAAAAACAGCAGAAGATATGCGATGGCATTATACTCATAATGATAAATTGAATGATGTTGATAAGAAGATGTTAAGGCACCCTTCAGATGCATTAGCTTGGAAATCATTTGATCAACGTTATGAGGATTGTGCCTCAGATCCTCGTAGTGTTCGATTAGGACTTGCAAGTGATGGGTTTAATCCATATCGTTTGATGAACACGACTTATAGTACATGGCCTGTGGTGTTGATTCCCTATAATCTTCCACCGTGGTTATGTATGAAACCATCTTCATTCATGTTGTCTATTATCATTCCAGGTAACACAAGTCCTGGAATTGACATCGATGTGTATTTGCAGCCACTAGTCCATGAATTGAAATTGTTATGGAGTGGGGTTGATGCTTTTGATGCTTATGATGGAGAGAAATTTAAATTGCGAGGCGCTTTTCTTTGGACTATTAATGACTTTCCTAGTTATGCAATGCTCTCCGGTCTGAGCACCAAAAGCTATATGGCATGCCCTATATGCATTGATTCGACTCCTTCTGAAAAATTTGGGAGTAAGACTTGTTATTGTGGGTATCGAAAATTGCTTACATCATGTCATCCATATCGATTTGAGAGTGACAGTTTTAACGGAAGCGAAGAGCATGGTGAAGCTCCACCTCGGCCTAGTGGGACTGACATATTGGGGCTACAAGAAAATGTTGGATATGTTTATGGGAAGGCATCAAAAAGAAAGAGAGGTAATGAGAGTAACAATGAAGAAGATGTTGTCATTGGTACCAAGAGAAGCATATTTTATGATTTGGAGTATTGGGAGCATAATTTGTTGAGGCATAATCTAGATGTAATGCACATAGAAAAAATTGTGTGTGACAATATTTTAAATACTCTCTTAAATACCGATAAAAGCAGAGATAAGAAGGATGATCGAGACGCCCTTCAAGGATGGGGCATAAATCCACATCTTTGGGTTCAAGATAATCATATGCCTTCAATTTCTTATTCTATGTCTGTATAGGAGAAAGAGAGGTTCTTAAAAGTTTTACAAAAACGCAGAGTCCCTGATGGCTATGGATCTAACCTTTCTAGATGCGTGAACATGAAGCAAAGAAGGTTGATTAACCTTAAGAGCCATGACAACCATGTGTTGATGCAAGATATCCTTCCCGTCGCATTAAGAGCTTCTAATGCAACAAAAGTAATTGATTTGCGTGCAAAATTGTCTTACTTTTTCAAGCAATTATGCTCCACTGCTATTGATCCTGATGATCTAGATGCTCTTCAAGAAGGAATTGTATTAACCCTTTGTGAGTTGGAAATGGAGTTTTTGCCTTCGTTTTTCACAATCATGGTTCATTTGCCAATTCACTTAGTGGAGGAGGTTAAACTCGGTGGACCAGTACAATACAGATGCATGTATCCCATTGAGAGGTTAGATTTATTTACATACATGTCTAATCTAAATTCATTTAGAAAATCTATAAGTGTACTGTATTTTAATTATAATTTGACTTTTTGAAAAGGTACTTGGCCCATCTAAAGTCACATGTAGCTAATAAAGCCCAACCTGAAGGGTTAATTGCAGAAGGCTACCTTTAAGGTGTTAAGACTGTCCATAACAAACCTAAACGAATTGATGATGATAGTCCCAATTCTGGAAAATACTTGTGTAATTCTGGCGGTCGAGTAATTGGGAAAGAGGTCAATTTTCGTCTAGATGACAAAAGCTTAAAACAAGCTCATCGCTATGTTTTACTGCATCATTCTGATGAAATTCAAGATCTTCTCGAGCAAGTAGCAAGTATTATTCTATTTTATGAATAACCAATTATTATAATATATTCCTTCCTTTGAAGAGAATTTTTAAATCTAAAGCGACAAATGAATACACATAACCTAATCACTGAAAGTGATGAAAGTGATTGGATCATCAACGAGTTCGGAGAGTGGTTGCGAAGTCAGGAGATATATATGTATCCTAATTTGTTCAATTTTCTTACAAAAATAGCACACTGTTTTTGACTTTATATTCTACCATGATAGGTACACTCAATAGATGAAACCACCGAAGATGGGAAACTTAGAAAAATTCTGGCAGGGGGGTTGAATTGTTATGGTAAAAAAATGAAGGGCTTTATGATCAATGGGTGTAGACACCCAAATGTGTCTCCCCAAAACAAAACCCAGTGATGAATACCTTACATGTCATTTGATTATCGAACAAATCGAGAGTGTGAAAAGTCTAGTGATGAGGATGTTTTTATTAAAATATCTCTTTTTGTTTTTGAAAATATTTCTTTTCTTACCCTATTTTTGAAAAACGTGCATTATAGTTTAGTTTGGTCCATGATATGGGTCCAATAATGGTGTAGTTAGATGGAGGTTGAAAAGACCTTTCCAACGATATATTATAAGCCCAATTCCGATAAATAATGAGGAAGTTATGGCCAAAATACTAAACTGGGCTCGAACCGGATCTTACCTAAGGCCCAATGATCATGTGGAGGGTACAAAGGTTTAATCCTATTCCTAAACTAATTAAGATTAATTAGAATCTTCTATAATTTTCTAAAAGATCATAATTATCCTTTTTGAAAAGATAAGAATTAAAGAATTTGAGTTAAATAAAAACTTCCCTTTTTTAAAAACTTTCCTGTTTCTTAAATCCTAATTCTATTCGAATTTAAAGATGTTCAAAGACAGTCAGGTTTTGTTTTCGTGCCTCATAATCTTTATCAAAATTTTATATGGTTGGATAGATTTTGAAATTATCTTTCCAATGATATATTACAATATTAAATCCAAGATATAATGAAAAAGATATGAATGAGATATGAAATTCTATCCAAAACTGACACCATCCTACTATTTCGGATATATATTTTTATCTAAAAAAGATTTTAATCTGATTCTAATTGGGTTGGAAATTAGACTTCAAGAGCTTTCCAACGACATATTATATTCCTTATATGGACTTTTGGATCAAAAGATGTGATAAAAACAAAATCTGCAAAAACTTCTGTCCATCGAGTTCTATTTCGATTCGAATTCGGATTCTCTTCTTATTCTTCGACCCTCTTTTTTCTCTATAAATAGAGGCCATATCTCCCCTTTTTCAATCACCAATTCCCATCAAGAATCTCTTGTTTACTCTCTCTCTCTCAATCTTTTCTAAACTAGCTTTTTGCATACAAAATTCCGCATTCACAAGATCTAGACATACCTAGCATAGTTCGAAGTTGCCTTCGCCCTAGACGTAAAAGGTTTTAATTTCTGAGGGTTTGGTCCCAAATCTCTATTTCAATTATTTAATTTAATTGTTTGATTTATTATTTTCCTTGAAGTTACTAACGTGTGTATTTTGTTATTAGAAAGAGATACGAGACATCCAAGTAAGTGCTTTAATTGATATTATGATATAGAAATCATGTCTAGGGTGTTTTGATCTTCCTAGTATCATGTTTAGGGTAATTTATACTATCAAATATGACAATTGTGTTTCCTACAATGCTTCCTATTCTTTTCCTAATATTCATGTTATTATCATGTTAGGGTTAAAGCTTTGATTTTTAATGTTTAGTGACATGATAAGGTTTGTTATTAATCTTGTTAGTATTATGCCTAGGATCTTGCTATTATTATTATTGTGCTTTATTATTAACATGATTATTTTTATGATTATAATTGTTATAATAATTGTTATGATTATTTATTATGTTGCTTGATGCTTATTTATTGTTATTGCTTGATCACGCCTTTTATGCATGTTTAAAGGGAATTTGGTACTTGTAATCACGCTTAATAAGATAATTGATAATCTTGTTTAGGGTTAATTTGATTATAATTCAAGTGATCGCCAATAATAGTTTATTTGTGCATTAAATTCAACCAACATAGATAAAAAGGTTTAGGGTTAATCCTATTGATTGCATGTTAGTCAGAAAGCGCACATGAATACGATCAGAATAAAGTAGAGGCCTATTATTAGGGCAGGTTCAATCTCTTTTAGGTTGGATTTGTACCTTCATCCCCGAACTACCAGTCATGGTTCCAGCCCAATTGGAGTTGACGATCTCCAGGATCGTTAAGGGGTGTAACCTTCATCCTGTGAACGGTTTACAAGTTCCTAAAACTTGTTGGCGACTCTTTTGCTCTAGTTTCCTTCCCTTTGGACGCCACCATGCTTAAGTGTATGATCACAGTGGGGTTCAAGTTTGGGGTAATGCTTGAAATATTTCCTACAATGGGTATAAATTTCAGATCATGAACCGTGATAGCCGTTTGACTACCCAAAATTCTTGAATCATGGTTGAAGCAGATGGAGAAGCATACTATGGGAAAGTGAAGGATATATATGAATTGGAATATTATGGGACTTACAAAGCTGTATTGTTTCATTGTGTTTGGGTAGATATACATAGGGGTGTTGAATCAGATCAAAATGGCTCTATATGTGTTAATTTCTCAAAGTTGATGCATTCAGGAAGAAATTTGGCAAGATGATCCTTTTATTTTTTCATCTCAAGCAAAACAGGTTTTCTACATTGAAGATGAGATACGAAAAGGATGGTTTCATGTTGTAAAGACTAAGCCTAGAGACTTGTTTGATTTAGGGGATGAGTTACCCAAAGTAGATAACGACAATGAATGATTAGTTTCCTATTTTATTATTTAATTTGGATTTGCAATTGCTGAATTTAATTATGAGTTTATATTTGTCATTAATCAATATTTCCTTTTGGTAAATTTATCCCTTTACTTTTTGTTAATTCTATTTGTGAATTACAATTGATTTTCTCATTCCATCTAATAGTTATAGCAGTTTTTCATAGATATTACTAACTGAATGTCATTTGAAAATATAAAATGTTTTGTCGTTTTGATTTTAAACATAAGGCATACTTTAATGTACTCCCGTAATAATTATTTAAGTGATTTTTGTTTTGTTTTGTTTTGTACAATAGACTGCATATATGGAGTATAATAAAACAATTAACATTTAATTGCCAGTTAATATGGTTCTAGTCTGCTCTTATAATCCTTATTTGATCTCTCATTTTATATAGTTGTTGGGCAGTCCAGTCCTTGCTGCCTTTTGCCTGAAGCCTTTTCAAATTGCTGAATATTTTGAGTCAGAAGTATTCTCATGATTCTTATTGTACATATTATGTACCTTGCAGCATTTTGTAAAATGATTCAACTGATTGATTATAAAATGATAATCGGATCAAGCTATTTCACATAACCTTTTTTCACCATTAGACAGCAACGATAGTATGCATCAGTAAAGGAGGCATATCTTACGGGGGGGATAAAATAAATGATTTTAGAATTTTTTTACGTGAAGTACAAAAAAAGTTGAACATATGCAAGTTTATAGTCCTAGCCCTTTTTTCCGGTCAGATTATATCAATATTAACAATGTCTACTTGCGTTTTGGTGACAGGGTCAGTCCCAGATCATAATACTCCTGTGAAGGTAGAGGTACATGTATTTGACCCAAGCAACTTAGGAAAGCCATCATTATCTGAGGATGAGGAGTAATGATCTACATTTATGACCAGTTTACTTTGCTTGTTGCAGTTGTTTAATGGTAAGAAGTAAGTAGTATCTATATTTTCAATGTAGATCTGAAAACGATTTGGTATCCCCACAATCATGATAGCAGGTTTTTCAAACTTTAAGTAATTTAATTTTAGCATTGGTGCTGATATCGCTTTGATCTCGAAATTTTGATTATAATGTGTTGGGTTGATAATTTCTGCTGTATGATCTATTTGTATTTTGTATCACTATGCAACTAATTATGTTGTTTGTGAAAATAATGTCTTTAAATTTATGTACTGGGGCTCCATGTGAATATTACTTGGCTTGATACTTTATTTTCACTAAAATATCCAAACATCTGCCCTTAATCATAACATCCCCATGTCTTCTATCACACATTGTAAATTGACATCATGACATGTTATTGTTTCCACTCTTTATTTGGATATATTAGCAGGAACTTGTGAAAGATAATCAACTGGGCTTTGATGAATAAATAAATAGAATCAAGAATAAAAAATAACTATGACACTAACAGCTACAGTTTTAATTCTAATACTGGAATTTGGCCTAAAAAACTTTAATTTTGCACTAGGTTGATTATAATTAGAGGGTAGATTCTGATTTCTTATAAGGCATGTTTCCCTTAGTTGATTGCATGCATGTGTAATTATATTCTCTTGCTAATAAACTGTTCGAAAAAGGCTTTTGCTCGTGCAAGGTTTGATCATGGGAACTTGAAAATCAGAGAGTATTTATTCTAGAAGGCAACCAAGTATACTGGCATTTGTACATAATGTAACCTGTAGTTTTCGCAGCAAAACAGTTTACTTTTACCTTTTCTGATGTCCATATGGTAAAGCTAGGTTAGTTGTGGAAACTCATCTTGTATTTGTTTCTTGCACATCAACTCAAGGACCTAATAATACAAGTTTGGTCTAATTATGCGGAGTATTTCTATTCTGACTGATCCTGCATTTCGTCCATGTTTATCTTATGAAGTAGCAGGTGTTTTTGGATTCACGTTTTTTCTGTGTTCATCTTATCTAGTAGCCAATGCAGATGTTTTAGATATTTTTTGTTCCATTGCCACAGAGTGGTCACACAGTAAATTTTTTCATCTTGCTGCATCTCCTAAGGTCTGAGCTTTTCTGACAAGGAAATGAGGCACATCTAAACAACTATAATCTGTCTGATATCCTATGCTGCAAACATAACTTCTGACTAGTTGTATTTGTTTCTGTTAATAGGTGTCTCATAATGAGTTACAAAAGTAAAAGAACTGCTTTAACTCTTGGCGAGGCTCAATTTTCTTAAAATAAGAAACCCACTTCGACATCCTTACAATCTAAGTCCAGCCATATTGCAGTGTCACAATCCAACTTTTCAGAGTCTTCTAACCCATCCACCCAATGTGGACCATTTAGCCCTCCGACACTTGGAAGATCACAAACATTTGGACACATATCGCAACCAATCAAATCTTCTATTAATGAATCAAAACCCACATCTACATCATCTTCATCTGTAGCTGCTGCATCAAAAGCAGGTATGCCAACTATATATAATTCCATCAAACTCCAAACATAAGATGTCATCAAGACCTCCTTTAATCCCATCACAACCTAGATCGTATCCTATGTTACAATCTGTAACACCACAAACATCACAACTCCCTCATAAAGAAACACTACAGCCTCACAAAGGAACAACTCAACCTACTAAAGCATCAAAGCAGCATAAGGCTATAGAGCATCCGACTATTCCACCTTTTACTAGAGCTAAATCTGGTGCACTGCCGTCACAAGAAACAACACAAGTCCCTCATAAAGAAACAACTCAGCCGACTAAAGCATCAAAGTAGCCTCAAAAAGCTACAGAACATCCGAGTAAACAACCTTTTCCTAGAGCTAAAACAGGTGCACTGCTGGTGGCAGCTACACAACAACCTATTGTCTCTCCTTAGACTGGAGCTAAATCCCAATTAGAAAGAAGAGTTGTTTCACCCTTGGAAGCTATGCAACAAACTCAAAAGAAGCATCCTATGATGTCTTCTAATTTTTGAGGTGAACCCTTGACACAACCTCAAATGAATACAACCTGTTCAGTGGGACTCCAAAAGGAGAAGTCTCATGCATATATTCATGCTGAAAGCAACAAAAGGTTAAATTTTAACTCTGACGAACCTGAATCTCAGTCAGAGAGTGAAAAAGAGTTGACTGAGTCAGGTGGAGTGGACAGTGGTTGTGGCATTTGGTAAGTGTAAATGTATATTTAATATTATGTGCTTTGTTTTTTTCCTTTTCGGATGTTTTTTTTTTAATTGTTTTACACTTACCTAATTTCATTGTTTTCAAAGATGTCGATGGAACACGACACCTTGTGAAGGGTTCTGTTCAGCCTCGAGATGTGTGGAATAATGCACCAGGATTTAGGTACTTCGTCCAATTTAATGAATTCAACCAACCTCTTCACAAAGGTGGCTCCATCCTTGTGAGTTTCTTAGGAGACATTGCTAAACGAGAAGAATTTTGTCCCGTGGGAATTTTAATTTGGCATAAGTTGAGCTCGAATATGAGAGGCAATATTGTTAACCTTGTTCAGGTACGCCTTTTAATCGTTCACCATGAATATATAATCTTACTTTCATCAATACACTTATAATCTATTGCATGCCTGACATATGCTATGGTTCTCTGATATATGACATATGATATAATTATGAATGCCACAATAATAACTCACATGTAGTATGATACGCTATAAGTTATATATGCTATATAGATTAATCTTAATTTAACTTTATTTGTACATTTACTTTAAGGCACATTTTCTGTTACTCGAAGGAAAGGAAATGAGGAATGCTATTTTGAAGCGTATTGGCAAAGCATGGAAAAATCATAGATATGCATTAAAGAAGGATTATTTGATCCTGTGGAAAAAACGCGTGAGCAAAATTATGCTAGTATACCTGATGGAATCACAATTCAAAATTGGAGTTTTCTGGTTGATTATTGGCTTTCATCAGACACCAAGGTTTGCATTTTGATTTTTACGGGAATTTTTTGTTTATAGATAAGCTCTGTATAACCGTTTTGTATGTTGTCAAGTTGTTAGTAACATTTTAGTAGGATATAATAAATGAACAATCCTAGATGTGTGAGTAACATTTTGGTAAATATGTTGTTTATCCTGATCAACTCCTCCCACAATGTCGTCTAATTCTTCATAAGCGATAACCTATGACCAGCAAATCTATAAACTTATAGTCTTTATAAGGAACAAAGCAGAGAGAGAAAAGAGTATACACAATGAAACAACAGTAATGGACCTCCTGTATTCGCCGCTGATGCTACAACCCTTTTCCTTTGTTGTCTCTCTAATAAGCCACATATTCTCTCCTTCCCTCTTATCTTGCTGTTGCAAATAGTCGTTTGCTTGTGTTAGCATTGCATCCCATCAGATATAGTTAGTCACAAAGGTTTAGAGATCTCAAATCCATTATATTTACACAGTACACGTGTTAGTGAGAACAGAGGCTAGCTTCCATCAAACCAACTCACTACCTAATCACACAAGCAGATCTGTTATATTCTGATTATAGTGGTTTTAGTGTGATGTAACTTTATTTCTATCTCATGCTAACCATGATTTTAAATAAACAGAAAATGTCTGAACTCGGAAAAGCTGCTCGTGCGTCGCAAGTTCTCGTGCGCAAGAGTGGTGCTAAAAGCTTTGCAAATCGCAGAGCTATTCTGGTATAATTATCCTTCATTTTATTTAGTCCTAAAATTTGCATTTAGCGTTTTTTTTTTCTGTTTGACTATCTTACAAGATTTGGAAGAAAATGTAACTTCGTCAATTTAAAAGACTTAAAATAGCGGAAGTTAAATGTCGGATATTTGTATGTTTCTCACATTGCAGAAAAAACAAAAAGGAGATTTCAGTGAATTGGAGTTTTTTTAAAAGTGTTTATAGCGAAGGAGATGGAAGATTCAAAGAGGGCACAACATCTCATCATCAGTTTGTGGTATATATACCAATGAAAATCAGTTTTACCACTAATTTATTAGCTCTTTGCCAAGTCTTCTAGTTTTCTTATCATGTAACAGGAGGATGCAATCAAGAAGGTGCAAGAAAGCCTTGATTACTCCTCTTCTTCCATTCCCAAGGTTGATATTGAAAATGAAGTTTTCAATCAACTTATGTATCAAGGCGAGATCCCTAAGCGTCCTCTAAATTATGGCTTTGGTGTGATGCAAAGCGACATCTTTGGAGTGGAAGGACATTTAAGGAAAGAAGGGTCTTACTATGTCAACAATAGTGATATGGAAGTGGAGAAGTTGAAGGTTGCACTGTTAGATATGAAGAAGCAAAATGAGGATGTTGATGAACAAAATCAAATATTGAAAACAAAATTTGATGCAGTTGGTTCTATGATGGCACAGGTTTGGAAGGCAACACGCAGTGGAAATGTTTCATCAGAAGTTATAGATAATGCAATACAACTACTTGATTCTCAGGTTTGGAATAAACCATTTCTTTTTTTATCCACTTCCTTTTTTTTAAAATTTCCTTTCATTATCTGTGGCAAGATTAAAATTGCATGCATGAACAATGTAAGAGGAATTACTTAGAATTACATGCTGTGGAAATTATTCATTAAAATCAACTTTACTTGTCTTTAAAATTCCCTTACATTATCCTTAATAAGAATATTACCAGTTGAGTTAAGCACCTCAAACCATGCTTGGTATATTTAAACAGATAAGGGAGAGGCAAGTACATATATTATCAAATAAAAAACAAAGAAATGAAATCAATTACATGCATTTCCAGTGAATCTTATTGTTGCCGGGTTGTTGTCTTGATTTTGTTGTTGCCTACTTGTTGTCTTGATTTTGTTGTTGCCTAGTTGTTGTCTTGGTTTTGTTGTTGCCTGGTTGTTCAATTAATGTTATGTTGCTGTAGCTGTTGCATAATTTTTCAGTTTGGTGGTGTTTTGAGCAAAGGAGCAGATTTGAACAAGTTATAATTGCTATTTGGAAGGGCCATATCTTCTTCAATTTATGTCCAATTGAGTGATTCTTTTTTTTTTTTTTTTTATTTTGGTTGTTATTCAATGTAGATTACACATAAAAATTCACCATCAGACCCCGAAGCCAAGTATGAAGAAGAAAAGAAGTAGATGGGTCTGATGATTTTGAAAATTGCACATTGTCCATCTTAAACATTAGTCCATAAAATAGATTTAGACTCATTAATGTATATAAATATAATGCATAAAATAATAATAAAACAATCACTCATTAATGTATATATATATATAATGCATAAAATAGATTGATGTAATAATATGTCATGAATGCAACATACATAATAATCATGCATGCATATGTTTAGATTAGGTAAGAAGAGTCTTACAGAATTTGGGATGGCATTTTTGATAGTCTTCATGTCACTAATTTGAAACTTGGCAGTAACCACCTTTCTTGGCCAAAGCTCCACCCTTTCAATTCCACTAAGCACAGAACACTAAAACCGAGCTAACCCAAATATACATCAAACCTTCCCATAATCCCATTTTCTTTATGCTCCCTTTCTTCCTAAAACTTTGGTCATTTTTACTTGACATAACTATTGGATGATTTTGAGCATCATGATAAAGTTGCTTACCATTCTCCGATGAAATCTGTTGTGAGCCTTCGCCTTTCCCTTGCTTACCTTTACTGCTGCCCTTGGTGGAGAAGTGTTGTCAGTCTTCCCCTTTCCCCTTTCCCCTGCTGCTGCTGCTGCTTTTGTCCCATGCTGACTGGTGGTGGCTATGGGTTCATTGCAAGATTGCTATTTTAGGTGGTTTTAGGTTCGATTAGGGAGAAGTGGTGTTAGTTAGAGGCAAGTTAGTACGTTTTAGGTAAATGTTTGAAAGTTAGTCATTTTATATAGCTAGATTGATAAAGAATACAGTAAAAAAATATTCACCATTTATAGATAATTAAAAAATTACTTATGGTTGCTGCGAGTGTGATGAAGTATGTTTCTGATTATGGGGAGAATGCTAGTAGGGTGTTCAAGCCCCCTACAATGCTCACTCCTGTTGTGTCTTCGTGGAAGTGCCCAGGGGCTGGTTGGGTTAAAATTAATTGTGATGCTCACATTGGCCAAGCTACAAGGCTAGGGGTCGTGATTAGAGACGATTGTGGTAATGTGGTGGCTGCTGCAGTTCGAAGGGAGCATGCGGGGTGGGTTCCTTCTCTAGCCGAGGCTGCTGCTTGTAGATATGGGATGCTCTTGGCGTGCAGGTTGGGGTACAGCAGAGTGATTATTGAAAGCGATGCCCATCTTGTTGTACGTGGTCTCAAGCAGCGAATGCAGGGGTTTGATCCCTTTAGTTTGCTATTGAATGATATTTTATCTATTGCTAATTTGCTAGTTCTTTTTCTGATTTGTCGTTTTCTCATATTAAAAGGGCAGGTAATACTTGGACCATAATGAGCATACATTCTGCAGTTTGTTATCTTTATCCCTAATATTTGAATAGGAATGTCATTTGTTATTAGCCGAGCACATACCGCCTTTACTAGCAATGGGTTAATTACTTGTGTTGTGTAAGAAAGTGACTATTTAGTACAAAAATTCTTGTTAGCTAGGCGTATCACTGGACAATTTTTTTCTTGGTTTACGTTCCTCTATGGTAAATATTTTCTGTTTAACTTCTCTAATTTTGCAATACTACTACTACAATAATTGTGCACATATCAAATTTTCTTCGCAGGTTGTTGATGATGTAGGTAGCAATGGTAAAGAGTAAATGAAGAGCGTGATTTGGCTTCAAGCACTCTTATTATATATATGTGTGGGTATTTATTAGCTTTGATAGCGTTGTGTGTAATTAGTTTGAACATCTTTTTTAGGAAAATATCTATATATCTCTGTATTGAAATACTACACTTGTTTAGTTCAATTGGATGTATAACATTATTATGTAAACGGATTTTTATATATATGTATATATGTGTGTTTTTTCTATATATATATATATGTTACTTTTTGTAAATACATTTTCATCAATTATGATTTTATATATTATTATTATTATTATTATTATTTTATTTGTTTAAAGTTTTATATAAGTACTTCATTAATTTAATTTTATCAATTTTCGTCCAAAAAAAAGGAGGGGGGGGGGAAAAGTGATGCTTTTATAAATAAAAGTTATTGGTGGTATTTAAATTGTTGGAAATAATATATCATCATTTTGACACACAAAAGTGTCGCAATTTTATAAACAATGACTAACAAAAGCGTCACAAGTTTTTGGACATTAATAATGGTGGGAAATATAGCCCCCAATTTGACACACAAAAGTGTCATAATTTAATAGTAATGACTCAAAAAAGTGTCATAATTTTTTAGTAATGACACAAAAAAGTGTCATAATAATTTAGCGATGACACACAAAAGCGACATATAATACTTATAAATTGACACAAAAAAGCGTCAAAATATTTTGGCTTCAACAATTTTGACGCTTTTTAAAGCGTCAAAATAGAAAATTATGACGCTTTTTAAGGTCAATATATGTACAAAAAAGTGTCAAAATGTGCCTTGTTTTTTCGTAGTGAAAGGCTATCAAAGGATCTGTGGTCTCAGATTTCCTAGCGGATTTCCCAATAGAAGATTCAACGCCAATACGCGACAATGAATTTCCAGACGAAGACTTGATGGTCACAGAAGATGATACTTGGACTTTATACTTCGATGGAGCCTCAAACCAAAAGGGATGTGGCGTTGGAGTATTATTAGTATCACCTAAAGAAGAGCACGTTCCAATCTCAATAAAGCTAGATTTCGACGTTACCAACAACGCTGCTGAATACGAAGCATACGTGGTAGACCTTGAAACAGCTTTGACATTGGGAGTAAAGATATTACGAATATTTGGGGACTCTTCATTAATCATCAACCAAATTTCTAAAAGATGGAAAGTAAGGAGTGAAAGTCTAGCCCCTTACCAAACTTATCTAGAAACTCTCACCAATCAGTTAGAAAAAGTAGAATACACTTATCTACCTAGAGAGGAAAATAAATTTGCTGATGCTTTGGCAAGACTAGCCTCAATGGTTAGGATTCCTACGAAAATTGAGCAAATGCCTCTAACTATAGAGAAAAGGCACAAATCGGCTTATATTCAAGCCATAGAAGATAATGAATTGATATAAGATGAAGAAGAAGAAGAAGTAGAAGAAGAAGAATAAGAACCGTGGTATACAAATATACTTAATTATGTCACCAAAGGAAAATACCTTCCTCATGCTGACAAAAGAGCAAAACGAGCATTAAGACTCTTGGCTTCCCAATACGTACTCATAGACAACGAGTTACATAAAAGGGTACCTAAGTGTAGGGCATATTTGAAGCATTATCCCTAACTTGAACCCCACTGTGATCATACACTAAAGTATGGTGGCGTCCAAAGGGAAGGAAGCTAGAGCAAAAGAGTCGCCAACAAGTTTTAGGAACTTGTAAACCGTTCACAGGGTGAAGGTTACACTGCACCCCTTAACGATCCAGGAGATCGTTAACTCTAATAAGTCTAGAACCAAGACTGGTAGTTCGAGGATGAAGGTACAAATCCAACCTAAAAGAGATTAAACCTGCCCTAATAATAGGCCTCTACTTTATTCTGATCATATCCATGTGCGCTTTCTAACTAACATGCAATCAATAGGATTAACCCTAAACCTGTTTATCTATGTTGGTTGAATTTAATGCGCAAATAAACTATTATTGGCGATCACTTGAATTATAATCATATTAACCCTAAACAAGATTATTAATTATCTTATTAAGCGTGATTACAAGTACTAATTCCCTTTAAGCATGCATAAAAGGTGTGATCAAGCAATAACAATAAATATCAATATCAAGCAACATTATAATAATCATAATGATAATCAAAACAATAATCATCATAATAATAATTATAATCATAATAATCATGTTAAAGCATAATAATAGCAAGACCCTAGGCATGATACTAACAAGATTAATAACAAACCATATCATGTCACTAAACATTAAAAAATCAAAGCTTCAACACTAATATGATACTAACATGAATATTAGGAAATAAAGTAGGAAGTATCGCAGGAAACACAATTGTCATATTTGATAATAGAAATTATAGTTATTACCCTAAACATGATACTAAGAAGATCAAAACACCCTAACATGACACTAGGAATCATAATAACAACCTATACATGATTTCTATATCATAATAACAATGTAAACAATTAAAGCACTTACTTTGATGCCTCGTACTTCTTTCTAATAACAAAATACACACGTTAGTAAATTCAAGGAAAATATTAAATCAAAAAAATTAAATTAAATAATTGAAGTAGTGATTTGGGACCAAACTCTCAGAAATTAAAACCTTTCACGTCTAGGGCGAAGGCAACTTCGAATTATGCTATGTATGTCTAGTGCTAATGTATGAGGAATCGTGTAAAGAAAGCTAGACTAGAAAGAGAGAGAGAATCAAGAATTTCTTGATGAGAGTTGGTGATTGAAAAGGGGGAGATATGGCCTCTATTTATAGAGAAAAAAGAGGGTCGAAGAATAAGAAAAGAATCCGAATTCGAATCGAAATAAAACTCGATGGACAACAGTTTTTGCGGATGTTGTTTTTATCATATCTTTTGATATAGAAGTCCAAATAAGGCATATAATATGTCGTTGGAAAGATCTTGAAGTCTACTTTCCAAACCAATTAAAATCAGATTAAATTATTTTGTAGATAAAAAGATATGGCGAAAATAGTGGGACGATGTCAGTTTTGGATAGAGTTTTGTATCTCATTCATATCTTTTTCGTTATAGCTCGGAATTAATATTATAATATATCATTGGAAAGATAATTTCAAGATCTATCCAACCATATAAAATTTGGATAAATATTATGAGGCACGAAAATAAAATTTGACTGTCTTTGAACATCTTTAAATTCGAATAGAATTAGGATTTAAGAAAAAGGAAAGTTTTAAAAAAGGAAAGTTTTTATTTAACTCAAATTCTTTAATCTTATCTTTTCAAAAGGGATAATTAAGATCTTTTAGAAATTTATGGAAGCTTCTAATTAATCCTAATTAGTTTAGGAATATAATTAAACCTTTGGACCCTCTACATGATCATTGGGTCGTAGGTAAAATCCGGTTTGGGCCCAGTTTAGTATTTTGGCCATAATTTTCTCATTGTTCATCAGAATTTGGCTTATAATATATCGTTGGAAAGGTCTTTTCAAACCCCATCAAACTAAATGATTATTAGACTCTTATCATGGATCAAACTAAACTGGAATGTACATTTTCATAAATAAGGTAAGAAAAGAAATATTTCAAAAACAGAAAGAAGAGATATTTTAATAAAAACATCCTCATCACTAGATGATAAGTGACTTTTATGTCACTTCTAGGGTGTTTATTGAGTCATTTTCCGGCTTATTTTACAACAATTTAACTCATTTTGTTCTTTATTTCTATTATTTGCTAATTCTCATCTTTTATCTTTATTTTATGTATTTTAGTAGTTTTTAATAGTTTTTAGCTTATTTTCATAATTTATTTAATTTCTCTAATTTTCTATGTTTATATTTTAAGTTTTTAGTTCTTGTTATATAATAAGTTCCTAGTTTCTCACATTTTCTTATTTGTTTTAATTTAGTCATTTATTTTGATTTACTAATTTTATATTATTTTTACTTCGTTTTATTTTATTATATTTTGTTCTATCCTCGTGTCGGTTTTTTGTTGTAGGTATGTTCGGGTTACTTAGTTCTATTTTATTTTTCTCAATCCCTTTGTTCGGTTTTGTGTGTAGGTGTTCGGGTTTTATGTCAAGTGAGTTCGGTTTTCGAATTCATGTCAAAATTCAATAGCCACTTCAACACACCAAACAACCACCAGAGTAGCTCCCCTGCTCCCATAAACCGCACCTTCCACCAGCCACCAAAATCACCATCAAACGCACCCACCTATCACAGCCACAATAACGCCCACAACAACTCCAACTCACCTCCAATCTACCGCCCTGAACCACCAACAACAACCAGCCGCATCAACTCACCACGACACCAAGCAGAAACCCCTCTCCCCCTTCATTCACCACCTCACGCACTGCTCCCTCACGCAACCAGTAGCTCACAAACCACCAACAACCTTCATTAGCCCCCGGATTCACCACGCACACCAGCCAAATTGCTCCCAATTCCCCAACAAACAACAACAATTAACCACCGTCAAATAACCGCAGCGTCGCCACACACTCCTGAACAGCCCCTGCTTCACCGTCAACCAAAACCCACAGTAATCAACCACCAATCACCTCCGCAACAGCCATCACAATCTCCTGCTCCTTCGCGCACTGCAACACCACTATACCACACACAACAGTCCTCTAAAACCACGGCAATTAACCGCACCTCTTCCCTGCAATTCTCGGCCACCGCAAATCCAAATCAACCCCATCAATTCGCACAAGCATCACCCAAATTCAGAGCAATTTAAGTTCATTTGGGTTCGAGCAAACTGAATAGGAGTTCGATTGAAGTACGAGTCAGAAACTTTTGAGGTTTTGTAATTTGAAGAGGTGTGGTCGAACACACCCATGGTTCGACCGAACCAACCCTGTAGTTCGGCCGCACCAACCCATGGTTCGACCGAACCATTTCACGAGCTTCGCGTGTGACTCTTATTGAAAATCGGACGGCCGCGATTAAGTTATTCTTGATGAAGATTTTGCTGATTGATGTCGATGAAGGGTGAAGATACGTGCGATGGAATTGATGATGAGAATCAGAGCAACCACAAGAAAGGGGAATTGGGGGTCTGATTGTTTTTGTGGGATTTGTTTGTTTTTCCCCTTTTTAATTTCTTTTTCCTTTCCTTCCTTTTTATTCTTTGTTTTGTCATTTAATTAGTTTAGTTAGTTTTCTTTTTATTTGTC